TTGTAAAAGAAAGTAAATTACAAGCATTAGAGGTGTTGTTTTCTTGATGATCAAATAGGCTAGTTTATTTATCTTCTCAATGTGTGGGATGTGCTTATCCTTAATATATATATATATATATATATATATATATATATTTTTTTTTTCTCCTATAAGTCCTATAATACTATCTACACTCAACTATATTTTTCTATTTTCTTTAAAGGATATTTATTACTAACTTCTAAAAATACTTGCCTTGGGTGTATTTGTGATCACTTAAGCTCTTAGAAATTAAACTACTTACAACTAAATTTTCTTGCCTTCCTAAAAAATGAAGTGATCTAGAACCTTCATGACTAAGAAACTTCTTAGTTACAAAGTGTTGTCCCTAAGATTGGAAGGCTTGGAAAAGAGCATTGAACTCTTGGTTTAGGATTTTAGGGGTTTTAGGTGGGGTAGTTGAGAGTGACACCATAAGGAGTTATTAAAGGAAATAGAGTTCCCATTCTTCAATAAACGACTTCCACACCTAATCCAAATTCAAAATAATCTAGCTTAAAAGTTTTTAAAATGTTAGGAAGAGTTAGAGCATATGTATTGAAGAATTCATCTTGTGAGGGTTGAAAAGTATGTTCAAGCTTTCCTTGCAAAAGGAAGAAATAATGTTCTTCACCAACTCATTAAGTGGTAGAACAATGGATTGTTCAAGATAGAGAGTCCTCTTGATTTCACTTTTAATAGAAAAATGACTTTTTTTTCTTAATAAGATATTTAGAAGAAACATTTTCCTCCTTTTCACTCCTCTAACCTTTTAGGAGTTTTTTTTTTTATTTCTTTCCTTTTCCCTCATAAGCTTCATTTGTATTTGATCCTCCATCACTTGAGTAGATGTAAGAGTATGTAACACAAATTTCTTGAGTAGATGTAAGAGTATGTAACACAAATTTCTTATCTTTGTGTGAGGGATATTTCATTAGTTAGGCCATTATGTATAGATTTTCTATCAAATTGTCATCGTCTTCTACCAAAATATGACAAGCTTCCATGGGAACTACATCACATAAAACTTTGTCTTTATAATTCTCGATATAAAACTTGACTTTCACTTGTTGATTTACTACCATATAATTTTTTCATTAAGTCATTGAAGTTTGTAAGGTTTTGGGATGAGGAATGGTAGTAATAACTAACTTAGGAAACAACCTTGTATTATAACATTTTCTGCTTGATCTATTATCAATAATGAGAGAACAAGTTTGTTCTAAAATTTTACATCTAGTATGAAAGATGTTTTCTCTTTGTGAAGTGTTAATTTCACAAGATTGGCTTCCAAGAAGCTATAATTTAGTTTTTGAGTTAATATAAAAATCAAAATATTTCCCGATTAGATTAATAAAATTTAATATATACAAAAATTTATTAAAGTGAATAACTTTATTAAAGATTGCTTTCAAAATAATTTGAATTCTTCAAAACTAGTCAAATTAGGTGACACATTGAAATAAATCAATCAAAATATGACATGCGTCCAAAATTTGAGACAACAATGACATTGTTTTTCTTCCTTTGATAAATTAGACTTTATTTAAATATTTTTTATAAATATTTATATAGAAAAAACAAAATACGTTATACTTTCACCATAGGTTAAAATCTATGCATTTCTACTTTGATAAAATTCCTTTTTATCTAAATTCACAATTTTCTTTTATCCAAATTTTCTTATGAGTTAAAATCTTTGCACTTCTACTGTGATAGAATTCCCTTTTATCCAAATTCACAATTTTCTTTTAACTTACAAGAAAATGAATTTTACCTTTTTGTTTTTTTCTCTTACAAGTACTTATACAAGTTTACTCAAACAAAATTTTAAAGTATAAGTAATTTATCATTTATACCCCTTAATTAAGGACAAAAATTCTATTTTCAATCTAGACATAAAATCACGACTAAAAATACTATTTTATTCTTATAAAAATTGACTCAATAAAAAAAAGTTATACCTCTTTATTAAAAAAATAATAAAAAAAAGAAGATAAAATATATACAAATAAATGAAAACCAAAATAAGATAGTCTTTATTATTGTGTAAATCATATTATTCATATTGACTAACATGTTATTATGTTAAACCTAAAAGGCCTTATAATTAACTAGCTTGTCCTTCAAAGAAGCTTCAACATAACTCGGCCTAACACTGTCAACTAAACTATTATCAGTAGCCCAAGCTTTTGCATGTCCTCGCGAATAGCTTGTCCTACTAATACTATGATTAAACTTTTCCCTCGCCATGTTAATAAAATATGATGCAAATGTTGTCCAAAATAAGGAAACAAAAGCAAAAAACTTGCATAGTATTTAATATAAAAATATTTAAAAAAATAATATTTGTTAACGAATGCTATTAAGTCACTGATTAAAGAATCAACAACTAAAAGAATTATATGAAAAGTGCTAACAAAGCATGCCACTGTGATTTTCAATAAAATTAATTTGTTATTTTCTCACAGGGCACTTGTTAGTAAAATCATTCAAATAATTGAAAACGTTAAATATTTCTTAATTAATGCCCATAAGACACTCATTAGAAGATCCTTTAACCTATTCACCATCTAACCCATACCAATAGCCAAGCTGCACTTCAGAATAAGGATGACAAACATATCCGTACCCGCGGGTAATACCCGAACCCGTCCCGATTTTGACGGGAAATATCTAATTTGACCAGGTATGGGTACAGGTATGGATAAAACCCGATATATTAAATCGGGTACGGGTACGAGTATGTACTTACCCGTCCCGTACCCGTACCCGTCCTCGTTCTAATTTTTAATTTAATACTCACTTTCAATTTAATTATATTAAAAATTTTAATATTTTTTTATGTATGATTATTTATTATAATATAAGATAAAAAAATAACCTAATTATAATTATAATATAATAAAAAAAATAATTTAAAAATATTATTTTTTTTACAAAAAATAAAAAATAAAAAAATTGACGAGTACAGGTACGAGTATACCCAATACCTAACAGAGACATGAATGAGGATGAAAATCTATACCTGACGGATATGAGAACGGAGACGGGATGGATTTAACTCGCAGAGATAGGTATCATGAAACCCGTACCCGACTCGTCCCGTTGTCGTCCCTACCTCAGAATAATACATGTCAACTTCTCAATAACAAATCTCAACAAATTAATGAGCATGTATCGGTTTATCGCACATCACACCCTCACACTAATTATCATCACCCATCATTATTCATATTTTAGCTTAATAATTGTGATATTTGACACGTGTTAAACTCTTTTTTGAGAACTCATATTAGTATTTTTTTAAAAAATAGTTTTTATTACTTCTTCAACACTCCTTTCTTATCGAGAGAAAGGTTACAAACACTTTTTATTTATTTATAAAGAAGTATAACTTCCTTCCATCGAGTCAACGCCTAAAGTATAATAATTTTAATACTCCTTTAAATTTAAGATAAATTTATTTTTAATTCCTTAAATTTAAATTAATATTTTTAGTCTGTATAATTTCAAAGAAACTTATTTTAGTCTTTATATTCAAATTTTGTTAAAAAATTTATCAAATATTATTGCATAAAATTTATCTATTAATATCATTCTTAGTGAAAATATCACATTAAATCCAATTGATATTATATAACCATCTTAATTAGTTACTTTTAGATATGTTATTAGTGATTTGAGAGACTAAAATAATATTTTTGAAAATTATAGGAACTAAAAACAACGATTTTAAATCTGAGAGACCAAAAATAAATTTATCTTAAATTTGAGAGACTAAAAACATATTAAAACCTAATTTCAATTACAACTCCATGTTTAAACTAACGATCGAACCTTAGACCTTAGTTAAAAGATACAGTGTCTAACAACTTGACCTAACAATTTTGAATACATACACGCTATTTGACACTCCTTTAAATATGCATTGCTCAATAATTCATGTAGAAGTGGAACTAGAAGGCATTTTCATGCTTGTTTGATCGAAGTTGGCCAAACTACATTCTTCAATTTGAAGGGTCAATTACACTATTTGGCATGTCCAAGGCCAACACAGTTCGCTTCAATTAACAAAGTCATATGTATTGTACTATTCCAGCATAGTAAAAATAACTTCGGGCATACAAATATACAAGCCATCATTTTTGGTTCTCACAAATATATTTGAAAGAGAAGGGCTGGGATGTGGATAAAGTAATAACAAGAGCAAATCACAACAGAATATTACAAGAAAAATTAACAAAAGAACTAAAGGGTATTAGAAAAACTTATCATACTGGCTAGTGAGAGAATCTCTCAGATTTGAATAAAGGCCATAGAGTGAATACTGGCGAAGGTTTTTCACTTCATACCAAGAGTTGAGAACTGCAAGGTGTTTATCAGTACCAGAGAATGCCAATTGTATTCCTATGCTGCAATCCACAGTTCCTCCATGGCTCTTGCAGCTGGATGTTTGTAGCGCACAATCCTGATTGTTGAGACAGACAGCTTTCGAGTTACCGGAGCATTTAGAACACCCATCTCTTTTCCAATATAAATTTTGAAGCCTGCCCTTCTTAAACTCAAGGACCTGCAGAGCCAGATTCAGTTGGTTCTTAGTATGTATTAGGATCATGACCACAAATATTGAAACACTATTCTTGAAAGAAAAACCTCCTTACCAGAGTAAAACTGGTTACAGTATATGTGCTGTTTGCAACAAATGCAGGAGGGGACCTTGCTGCATATCTCCGGCCAGCAAATGCAACCATATAGCCATAGGTGTCCTGTGCAAGGAAAACAATCAAGAGACCCAAAATGACCAAAAAAACAATCCAAAAAGTGACACAAACAAAATACAAAAGTTAACCAAACTGATAATGAAATCAATCCTCACAGGCCAAGGGTTAGGGAACCAGTCAGGCTCGATTAGGAAGCCGTACAAATTCAAAGCTTGCTTTAAAACTATGGCAATGCATGTCTGAGTAAGTTGAAAATGGGAAAGTAGAAAATAACAAGAGAATTGAAAATGGAACGAGATAAAGGTTTTGACATTCACATTTCACCCAAAAATCAATTTCAACTCACTTTCATACCAAGAGTGGCCAAATTTGTATTGTGTATCAGTTCCACTCCACTTTAAACCGTTGCACACTTCTATGTTCTACAATTTACCAAGAAAAGGTGAAGCAACCTTCCTACCAAATCCTCCAACCCTCCAAATCCCCCATTTTCCAGTTACTCAAACTAGCATAGCTTGAATTTCGACATAAAACAAAAAATTAACCCAAAAACAATACTTCGATTCGCATACAAGTTTCTGTCATTAAAAGAGTAAAGCATCACAGGAATTACATTGCCACTAAAGCCATCAAAGTCCAGAGTATAGTGAAAATTAGGGTTTCGTGAATACTTTCCAATGAATTGTCATGCCAAAACAATGATCATACTAAAAAAAAAAAAACGCAAAAAATGATCAAAATTCAAAAAACACACAAATTAACTAAATTATAAATTATAAATTAACAAAAAGAAAAAACTTGACTAAGGTTATTTCTAGCACCAACAACACAAACTGTACTCTCCAAATTCAAATTGAGAACCGAAAAAGAGGAACATAGAACGAACCGCGGTGAACGAGGAGGAGTTAACGGTGAGGAGCGAAATCTCATCGACCTTGGGTCTGAACACAGAGATCTGAGAGTTGGAGTTGGAGAGAGAGAGTCTCGAATCGCACGGTGACAACTGAAGGCTATTGTTGTTATTGTAGAAGAACTTGTCCTTCGAAGCGAACGCGATTCCGAACGTGAATCCGTCGGATCTCTGCACATGCGTGTCCGAGCACGGAGAGAATACTCGGTTGTCGTCGCCGGCATCCGCCAGCAACGCCGCCGCAAGCGCCGCCACCACGATCGCCGCCGCCAGTCTTCTGATAAACTCCATGGAAGAAAGTTCTAGAAATTTTCGCCAAACCACACGGTCACGGAGTCGCTGAGAGCGGTAAAGTGCGAAGTCGGTTTTCTCGCGTTAACTTCCGGTTGAAGACCTAACGTCGTTTAAGAGTTAAACGACATGACTGCTTAAAAACGACTTCGAATGTGTGAAACGACTTCTGAAAGTACTGCAAGGCTACAAGCTATTACCGTTGCTTTGAATAATGAAACCCTTTCTAAGCCGGTGTCGCCGTGTCACAGCTAACAATATACCCTTTTTTTTTAAAGACTTGCATAGACTAAAATGATAAACTTTTTTTTTATTTTTATTATTATTATAAAAGACTATTTATCTCATAATAAAAAACTAAAATTTATAATATATAATAAATTTTGTATGTGTGTGATTCTCTATTTTAGTATGCATAATTTCTTTTTTGACAATTTTAGCTCTTAAAATAAAAATACTGTCCAATAATAATTAATAAAATTTATAAAAGTCTTTTATTTAATCTTAAAAAAACTGTTATGAAATAATAATAATAATAGTCCATTGTTACACTAACATGTACTTATAATAAAAATAAGTATTATATTTAAATATATAATTTATATTTAACATTTGTATAAATAAATATTTTTAAATATTTTTAATAGATACTTTTAAATACATAAATTATATTTTAGATTTATGATAAAAAAATTACGTTATGATAAATAAAAAATAAAAATAAAAATAAAAAATATTTAAAAATCTATATGCTATAAAAAAAAGTATAAAAGTTCTCATCAAAGAGAAATTTTTAAAAATATTTTCACATAGTTTGTGTTTAATATGTAAGAGTGAATTTTTTATGTTTAAATTTAATTTTGATTCCTATAATTTCACAAATATATAATTTTGGTCCTTATTTTTTTTTATTGCTAATTTGATTTCATTATTTTTAAAAATTAAAAAATGTTAGTTGTTGAGTAAAGAAAGTTACTAGAACGGGGTTGAATAATATCAATCAAAATTTTAATGTTTTTTTTTTCTTTTCAAAATAGTGAAGTAGTATCAAGACTTTAGGAATGCAGACGAAGAGTTAAGTAAGAAGAACAAATAGTATTTTTTTTATATTGGTTCATCTCAACCACTAAGACTACGTATAGTTCTTAGTCAACTCGATTAAGTTCCACTATCTTTACAAATATACAAGTATTCTTTCAACATAAGTGTTATTTGACCTGTCTCTTCAAACTACTACCCAAGTATTCTTTAAACAAAGTCTTTCCAAGTTTTAACAACCAAGTATTATTTTACAATCTCGTTATGCTCAAAACAATAACGTAAAGTTAAAGTTGGGAAATAACTATTATTTTATCTTATTATTAAGACATGATACAATAAATTAAGTATAGAGCTTTTTAAAGAAAGAAAAAGTATAATTTACACTTAGTGTTCTATCTTTTTGTAAGTTTCTTTCTGTATGCCTCTCTCTATTTGAATCTTCAAGCTTCTTTAAATAAGTGCTTTGTTAAGATGACCATTACAAATTCTTGAGCGTCTTTCATGTTCTTATTTCATTTGTCTTCATCTTTGTGTTCTTGTGGAGAGAACTGTCTGTTGGTACAACAATTACAGGCATTAAATGCATTTTTATCAAATTGTCACTTCTTATCTGATTAAAAAAGCTACTTATCATCTTTTAGGTACCAAAAGAAAGGAACTATGTTTGTGTTACTTAGAAACAACTTTTCTCTTAGCTTTCATGTGCTTTGATGGATATGTTTGGTCCTTTTTCTATTGTAGAGCATGTCTTTTTTTCTTTTTCTTTACAAAGTGTAAGTACTGAAGAAACTTTTTATTCCTTTTGATCTATTAAAGAATATCATAGACAAAGACGATTTGATTATTGAAAAATAGTATAATTATAAAGTTTTTGTCTTATTGATGAAGTATTTTGTCTAAGAGATTTAATGTCATAATAATTGATCATCTTATTACTATTCATCTTATAATATAATTTGAAAAATTTTTCTCTTGAAAAATGTCTAAGTTTGTTATCATTAAAACTTATAACTTGAGGGATCTAAGATTACTTTTTGACCTAACATTGGTCCATTCATTAATGTCATTTGAAATTAAACAAAACATATTTGTGTATGATATATATTTCTTGATGTTAGTTTGACATGTAAGAAAAAATAGTATTGAAAATTAAAGAAAAATGTTTTAATAGATTTTAAAATCTAATTAAAATAAAAAATATAACATATTTGTATCGAAAACAATATGTTATTCACAAACACGCCAATATTTTATGCTTAATTTAAAATTACATGTTAATAAGTGGATCAACATGTTTAATTTTAAAAATTAATTAGACTAGATTTGCAATAAAAAAATTTAAAAGACTAAAATTACACATTTGTAAAAATATACAGATAAAAAATAAATTAAAATTTAATTTAGATATTTTTCTTTTATGCTTTTTTTTTAAAAATAAATTATATTTTTTGTCCTTCAAAAATTGTTAAATCCGATACTAGCCTTCTTATTTTTATTTATTTATTATTTTAATCTCTAAAAAAATTAAAATGAGCTAATTTTAAGCAAATGTCTAACATTATTAACTTAATATTTATGTAGACAATAAAGTGTTATATCAACACTTATGGAAAATATCACATCAACACTATACCCTTGACATGTAGTAAATGAGGTTTTTTTCATTCCTAAATTTTTTGAAAGATTGATTTTATTTTAAAAATTTAAAATTTAATTTCAATGTTTGTAAATTTAAAATTTTGATTTTAATTTTCATAAAATTTAAAAAGTTTGATTTTATTAGTCTTTGTAAAAACAATATAACTTAATATATTTTTAAAAACCCCAAGGTATTTAAGGTGCACTTTAAGATGAACCATTCTAGATAAATGAAATATGCCATGTGAACAATTAATATATGAGAACTATTGACAACTAAATTTTTTGGGCCATATTTATATCTTATGTATATCATATGCATAAAACTTGAGGTTTTGAGTTATCAATGTGGAATCCTATGTTACAGAGGTCATATTAAGGATCTTCAAATTTGGACCTTAGAGGTCAACTTGATTTAGGAACCCTAATAACACTCTATGACAAATATTTGTGAACTCGACACAACCTTATAACCTTAACGAGCTACCATTGGAACTTCTCTCTAAAGAAAGTGTTTGGGCACTTGGTGATTTTTATTTAACTTTGGACACGAAGCGCAAAGGTGTCTATGTTAACTACAAAGCCAACACTACTTGGATGCTTGGATGTTAAGCATGAGCTTTTTCGTGCTAATCGCCAGAGTCATATAGAGCAAGCGTTGGGACTCTCCTAGGAGCTACTACAAAAAAAATCTTTAACAACACTTTTTTGAACTGTCAATGCCCGTGCTATTAAATGGAGTCTACCTTTAACAGCACACTAAAAGTACTATTATAGGACATAAATAGATAACATTTGTAATAAACAAGTGTTATTGTACGACCCTTTTAGACAACACTTATTTTACAAAAATGTTATAATAAGCCTTTTTTAAACAACACTTGTTTTAAATAAATATTGTCGTAGGGCCCATTTAGATAGCACTTGTAATAAACAAATGTTGTCATAGAATCCCCTGTTGGTCAGAACCCTTCATAAGTAACCTTTTCTGAAATGTCTATCTGCTTTTAGGATCCACGACTGACCCTATAAATCAACACAAGACTTTTCAGCATACTTTGTCTTCTCTCGCACACTTTTTGGGAAACTTCCCAGAAGGTCACCTATCCTTAAAATATTCCAAATCAAGTACGCTTAATTGTGAAGTTCTTATGAGATAAACTATCGAAAAGTAGATGCACCTTGTTGATATAGGTAGTATAAATTAATTCTTTTAAGTCCTCATCAACTATACAAATCTCATACTTGTACAATCTCTGGATAAATATTTCTAATTAACTTTTTTCTAATATATTTATCTTATTAATTATATTTTTGTATTTGTAAAAATATATTAATATATAACTAATTATATTTATGAAATATTTAATTTATCTATAAATATATTAATAATAATATTGATATTAATTTATGGATAACATATGTTATTTGACATGAATGAAAATTATAATATATGTAATATAAATATGTCCACAATTGAATAATTTCAAAACATTATATATATATAATAATAATAATAATAATAATATTTAAAATATTAGAATTTTAGTGGGAGTTGGAGACTTAAATCTTATAATTGCAATATTTGATAGATTTAAATTTTTGATTAAAATTTAAGGAACCCAAATCATACAACTACAATACTTGAAGAACTAAAATTGTTCAATTAAAACTTTGGTCATTAAAATCGAATAATCGCAATATTTAAGGGAATAAAAATGTAATTAAACCATTTTGAAAATTGGACACTACTTATTGTTAAAAATAATATAAAAGACTCATACTATATCACCATTTTTTAATTATATCACCACTTTTTTTATTGATGTTTATTATTCTTTTTTAAAAAGGTGGATAACTTGTTATTAAAAGTGTTATCATATATCAGTTTTATGACACCACTTTTTATTGAAGGTTCTACCTATTATTATTTTAAAAAAGTGGACATCACCTGTTTTTAAAAGTGTTATCAAAAGACTCATTCTATAACACCATTTTTTTTTATTTAAGGTGTTGTCTATTATTATTTTTAAAAAGTGGTCAACACTTATTTTAAAAAGTGCTATCAAAGAATCATTTTATAACACCATTTTTTATTGAAGGTGTTGTCTATTATTATTTTAAAAAAGTGGACAACACTTATTTTTAAAAGTACTATCAAAGACCTATTCTATAACACCACTTATTTATTGAAATGTTGTTAAATATAGCCCAAACCATAATAATAACATTTCTATCTTAATAGTGTTATCTAATGTATGTTGTTATATGTCTATTTTGTAGTAGTGCCTAAAATATAAAAGATGGACAATTATATTTAAATGGAAGGTTTAAGCTAAATTGATATAATTTGACATAAAAAAATGAGTTGAAAACCCCAAGGTACTTAAGGTGCATTCTAAGAGGAACCATTCTAGATGAATGGAATCCACCATGTGAATAATTAATATATGAGAACAACTGAAAAATAAATTGTTTGGGCCATATTTATATATGACATGTATCATATGCATAACACATGAGATTTTGAGGTATAAAT